GTACAGCCTTGTCTCACCTTTAAAATGCCCATTATTGTGTCAAAAACCCTCAACGGTAATAGGGCACACCTCTCTACATCTGTAACCTCCCCCAAAGCAACCAATCTCCTCCTTCTAATCAAAATTTGTCATTGGGTCTCATCTACCAACCAAGCACCTGTAAACTCCTCAAACCCTCCTACCCCTACTTCTTTAACCTTCTCTGGACTTACAATTTGAAAACCTCCATGGCCCTCACCAGCTGTTTTGTTCTGTAATTTCCTTCAGCTCAGTAATTCTTACACTGCTGTTCAAATCTCGTCATATCCTGGATGCCATTTACTATCTCTGTAGCCTCTGCCAAACCTAGAATTCTCATTCTTGTGTGCAAATTTATACATGAGCCTCACTCACTTCCTCCGTCTGTGACATCTTCCAATCTACAGCCCTCCAGGACTTCATGCTTTTCCGAATCAGGAATCTTTCATATCCGTCATTTTAATTGTTCTACAATTGGTTACCAGGCCTTCAGATGTTTCAATGCTGAACAATGGCATTCCTTCCCTAAATCTCTTCATCTTTCTAGCCAACTGTTCCTTTCAGAGTCCTATTTAAAAGCTACTTCTTTAACGAACTTTTGTCAACTGTACTGATATCTACTTATTCATTCTGGCGTGGAATTTTGATTGAGAATGCTAAAGTATCTTGGGATATCTTAAAATATTTTTGGAATTATACAATTACAACATTTTCCTCTTGTTAATTTCATTGACCTACATCATCCTTTCTTCCAAGTATCACTCTCCAAACTAATCCCACTCTACCACTCTCTCAGCATAATCCTGTACCAATCTCAGATAACCTCCCTGCTGTGTTTCACCACATAACTCAGTATTTATGCTACAGCCCTGTTTTAATCCAAAAGTAACTGACCGCCCTAATCACTCCTTATAATTCCATAATTAACCCAAAATCTTTGCTCTCATCTCTCTGAAAAGAAATCTTAATCTAAAACTAACACCTATTGTCTCCCCAAATTCTTATCTCACTCCCTAATCATTCCAAAAGTTTTGCACTCACCCTGTAGTTTGGTATCAATAACAATCTAATTCCATCGCCCCAGTTCTCTCCCCATATCCCTACATCAATTCTAATCTAGATTACCACTCTCCCTACCTGCCTGTGGTCATGGCAAATGTGTTTTGGGAATCTCTCCCATCAAAGGTACATGGCAAAAGAACTAATGAATGTAAGGAACAGGTGGTTTGCACTCACCTGAGCAGGTTACTCCAGCATCCTGGCTGTGCGTGCAGTTATTCACACCCCACGGACTGGCAGAACACTGATCAATGGTAGACTCTGACCCACTGCATCTGAAGTTATCCAACCAGATGTTCCCAAACCCTTGTCCATAGTCGGCTTCAGCCCATGCTAAAAGGGCTGTCCCGCAGTTCAACATTCTACAGACCACACTTGCTGCATTTACACCCCAGCCATTGCCACAGACAGTTCCCCAGATGGAGTTATGATAGACTTCAACCCTCCCAGAGCACAGGTTAGTGCCATTTATCAGCCGTACAGGAACTGGACCTGGAAAGAGATGAGAACATGTTAAATTGGTCTGGGATTACCGGTACTTCCACTGGGTGTGATGTCTGAATTTTTCACAGGGACTGAAAACTGTTCCCGGTCTACTGAATTTATATCTCAGGGTAGGCCACATTTGGAAAACTAGGGGTAGATTTAACATCGCATCATAATACTCTACATGATAATCCTTTAAAAAGAAAGTAAAAGACGGAGCATAGATTCACTCAATGTTAGTATGGATGAGGTGATGACCCAGTGTTATGATCGCTAGACTATTAATCCAGTGACTCAGGTAATGTTCTCAGGACCTGGGTTCAAATTACATCATGGCAGATGGTGGAATTTGAATTCAATAAAAATCTGGAATTAAGAGTACCGATAACCATGAAACTCTTGTTGATGTTTAGTTAAACCCATCTGGTTCACTAGTGTCCCTTTAGGGAAGGAAACTGCCATCCTTACCTGGTCCGGTCTATATGTGACTCCAGATCCAGAGCAATGTGGTTGACTCATAACTGCTGTCTGGGCAGTTAGGGATGGGCAATGAATGCTGGCCTAGCCAGAGATGCCCACATTTCATGAATGAATTAAAAAACATGATTAGTTACAGAGAGAGAGACACTCAAGAAGATTAAGGGGAAATATTGAACAGGATGGTATGATTAGAATCAGTGGGATATTAAAGGGTGCAGAAGTGATTAGGAGAGTGGGATTCAATTGGTTAGAATATTAAAGAACATGGGAGTGTCAGTGCAAATAGACTGGGTGGGATATTATAGGGTGCAGGGAGTGAAAGGAGAGTGGAAATAGATAAAAACCGAAAGAACTGCAGATGCTGTAAATCAGGAACAAAAACAGAAGTTGCTGGAAAAGCTCAGCAGGTCTGGCAGCGTTTGTGAAGAAAAAAAACCAGAGTTAACGTTTTGGGTCTGGTGACCTTCCTCAGGAACTTTCCTACAGTGGGACTAGACCAGGTAGCATACTAATGCATACAAGTATGATATGAAAGTGGGGGTCAACTGGGAGAGATCATAAAGGTGAAGAGAATAAGCAGAAGAATGTCTAGAGTGTCCATTCACCTGAACAGATAACTCCAGCATCCTGGCTGTGTTTGCAGTTCTTTACCACCCCAGGATTGAAAGAGCACTGATCGAGAGTAGGCTCTATTCCAAGACACTTCACTCTCCCGATCCAGATGTCACCAGTTCCCTCTCCGTAGTAGGCTCCAGACTGTGCTGACAGGGCTGTCCCACAGTTCAACACTCTACAGACAACACTTGCTGCGTTTATATCCCAGCCATCGTCACAGACAGTCCCCCAGCTGGAGTTACGGTAGACTTCAACTCTCCCAGAACACATGTTGGTCCCATTCACCAGCCGGATGGGTACTGGACCTAGATTAGAGATGGGAACACTGTCGCTTATTTGTCTCAGTGTTAGTCTTAAAATCCAGTTCTGAATAAGTTAAAATTTTCTTCAATTAAATGTTGGGAAGATGGAAGATCCCCAAAAACTCAATTTCCCCAGACTGAATCATAAAATCATTGAATACTTATAACATAGAATGGGCTATTTGCCTATAACAACACCTCAGCTTGTCTCACTTCCCTTACTCTTTCCTTGTAAATTATTTTTCTCTTCAGATAACTTTCAAAAGAGAACAGGAAAAGTATGACTGAAAGTGTTTTCATCAAACTCTCAGGGTACTGCCATTCACTCCATAGAAAAGCTTCACCTCTTTGGTAATTTTAGCAATCACCTCAATTCAATGTCCTCTGGCTCACAACCCACATGCAAAGGGAACAGCTCTCTCTATCTGCTCGGTCCAAACCTTTCATGATTTTGAACACTTCTATCAAATTTCCTTTTCACCCTTTCTTCTCTAAGGAGAAACAACAGGAATACTCCAATCTTTCCATGTAACTGAAGTCCCTTTTGCTTAAATTGATATTGCAAATCATTTTTGCACCCTGTCTAAAGCATTCACATCCTTGAAATTGTGCCACATACATGTATTAAGAAAGGAATAAAAGATCAACTTTTGTCCGAGTACCGGATAAATGATGAGGTGTAACAACATCACAGAGATAGACTGTGTTACAGCCCCTACTGATTTTTCATCAGTTTTATTTTACTCTTTTAATCAATTTTAGTTTGGAGTTGGGAACTGTGAACTAAAGATGACATTTGGACTGTGCGTACGTAACATTTTGTGTCAAAAGGAAATCAAACCAAATAAGCTTTTGATTATTCATGAGCCAGGCCTGGAAGTTAATTGCAGGTTGGTTCCTGGGTAAACATTTCTCCAGATGTTTCATCACCAGGGAGGAGCATTTTGTGTAAACAGATAGCAGAAGTTGGCTTTGAATGAGGTCAGTAGAATTGGTTCCAGCAAGTCTGGAAAAGACCATATGCTCAAGCAAATGGCAGGTGTTGAATGGTAACTGGAAACTTGTGGAGGAGACACTCAGTCTGTCAAGAAGTGGTCAGAGTTTGACTGTATTTTCTGTGAAAACAAATCTGGCTGTTGATACAAGCATGAAGATTTGACAGCTCCCTGCCTAAGCTCCTGTCAGCAATGCTTAGAAGCTCAGAGAATAGAAAATAAAGTTATAGGTATTACTGCGTTTATCTGAGTAAATTGTAAATGTGACCCTGATCGACATCTTCAGAAAATCAACCAAGAAAGCATCATCTATTGCTGTGGAACAATGCATTGTGAAAACCACTTAAGTAATCTGGCCGCTTTCATTATCTTCTTTTATTTATCCATTAATTGTGTTTATTTGTCCGTCTTCTGTGTGAATGGGGCTGAAAGCAAAGGTTTTTGGGTTCATAGCATAGTCCAATTAGATTACTTTCCTGTGTAATTTAGCTCCCCTAAAGTTACTATATTGTTAATAAATTGCTGAGTCTTTTGTTTAAGCTACAAACCAATGTCAAGATTTGATTATTCGCAAATTCTGGGATTGCTTATTCAAAAATTTCGTTGAGAACCTCTGGGGATTTTGAGAACCTTTTGAGGACCTTTGAAGGTTTTAATTTTACTGTGTTGCGAATACTGAGATAAAAGGCTGATTTGGTTTTGCTGTCTCCATGTCATAACAATTGTGAAAGAACTAACAGATAATTTCACTCACCTGAACAGGTAACTCCAGCATCCTTCCTATGTGTGCAGTTTTTGTGCACCCATGGTTTGGCAAAGCACTGTTCAAGAGCAGACTCTGATCCCTTACACCACACATCATCCAACCAAATGGCCCCAGCCCCCTCTCCATATTGAGAGCCTCTTGGTGCCAACAGGGCTTTCCCACAGTTCAACACTCTGCAGATCACCTGTGCTGCATTTATATCCCAGTCATTATCACAGACTGTCCCCCAGATGTATTTGCGATAGATTTCAACTCTCCCTGAACACATGTTGGTACCGTTCACCAGCCGTATAGGCACTGGACCTGCAAAAGAGTTGGGGAATTTTGAAAAATATGGTAAACTAATTTTGGATAGTCTGTGGAAACATGCATTTTTAAAGTTAAGTGAATGGCAGCATAGCGGTCACATTTCTGAAGACCCAAGCTAATGCTTTAAATACACAGGTTAAAAATCACACGATAGCAACTTGTAGAATTTAAATTCAATTTTATTTAATCTAAAATGAAAAGCTAATCTCAATAATAGTAACCATTAAACTATTGTTGATTAATGTAAAGACCCATCTGATTCACTTATCATTCATTAGTGAAGGAAATTAGCTATCCTTAACTGATCCGTGATGTAGTTTGATCCTTAACTGCATCATTTAACCAGATAATTTTAGTGCTCTCTTCACAGAAGGAGTCTACAGTTGCTAACAGGGTGTTCCACAGTTCAACAATCTGCAGACCACACTCACTGCATTTATATCCTAGTCACAGTCAGGTCCCTCAGATATATTCATAACAGACTTCAACTCTTCTGAATACATTTTTATAAAAATGGCCTAGCAAGGTGCTAGATGTATAAAACCACTACAAAACAATCAAAATGAATTTGGGCATCACCAACAAGGATGACATTTATTGTTCTTCAATAATCATAGGAACTGCTGCAATCCATGTGGTAACACCTACCCACAGTTATGAAGTGATTTCTAGACTACAATCAAAAGGAATGGACAGTGAAAGGACAGCCAATACGTTCCAAATCAGGATGACATGCTGAGCAAATTGCACATCATATCACGTGTCTGTTGCCCCACTTCTTCCAGCTGGTAGAGGTCATGAGTTTGGAAAGTGCTCTTGAGTCTTGACAATTGCTAACTAGCTACATCTGTGCCTTGTTGATGGAGGGAGAGAATGTTTAAGCTGTCAAATGGAGTGCCAAGTAAGCAAGTTATTCTGCACTGGGTTATGGAAATAGGGAGGGGTTGAAGGTCATAGAGGGATTTGAACATTAGGATGAAATTCCAGAGCTGGAGCAGATTACAGAGATAAGGAAAACCAAGACCAGGGAGTAATTCAGAAAGGAAGATGAAAATCTTAAAACCAACACACTGCTGGACCAAAATTTAACGTACGGTACATTCAATGTGAGCACTAAGATGAAAGGGACATGATGTGAGATGTGTGGAACACCAAACTGTTTTAACGCAAGCTGAGTGAAAGCTGCTAATTTACCTGAGCATATGACTCCAGCATGTAGACATCCAGTACTGTGATTAGCATCAAGCGGGTTGGCAATGCACTGGTCCAGTGAGTGTTCAGTTCCATTACATCTGACCCCACTGAGCAGGATCTCCCCGCCCCCCTGTCCACGATAAGCCCCAGTTACCGACTTGGCTTCCCCACAGTTCAGCTGTCTGCAGACTATGTCTCCGTTGATGAGATTCCAGCCAACATCACAGACTGTGCCCCAGGTGGACTTATAAAGGATCTCCACTCTCCCTGAACAAATGTTGTTCCCATCAGCCAGTCTGACAGGGAAAGATCCTATAAGGGAAACACAAGGTTAGATCATTCTGTCACTATGATTTCAATCTCCATAAGTTTCCCCTTCCTCCATTAGGAAACAAGAGGAGGCCATTCAGCCCCTTATAGGTTATTTCACATGAACATGAAGAGACAATTAAATTTCTTGAGCAATCATACATTCAGTCCCTTGAGACTATTACACAGGAGCAGGAGGGGAGCATTCATTCCCTCACGACTATTGCCTCAGAATACGAGGGCCATTCAGTGTCCTGATTGTTAGCTACTAGGCTCAGAAACATAGAATCCCTACAGTGTAGAAGCAGGCCATTTGGCTATTGAATCCACAATGACCCTTCAAAAAACATTCCACCCAGTCCCTATCCCTGTAACCCTGCATTTCCCATGGCTAATCCACCTAGCCGGCACATCCCTGAACACTATGGGCAATTTAGCACAGCCAATCCACCTGCCCTGCACATCTTTGGAGTGTGGGAAAAAAACGGAGCACCCGGAGGATACCCATACAGGCTCGGGGAGAATGTACAAACTCCACACAGGCAATCACCCAAGGGTGGAATCAGACCCTGGACCCTAGCACTGTGAGCTAACTCAGGACTATCAGTAAAAGGAACAAAGGATGTGTTTCGCAATCTATGGCCAAGGCAAACATTTCAGCATCACACAGCATCACTGCTGACCTGAGCAAGTAACTCCAGCGTCTCGACTATGTGTGCAGTTGCTGATATTCCTCTGGTCTCTTGGGCACTCATTGATGGTGACCTCTGTCCCAACGCATCTAAAATGATCCAGCCAGAGGGGATCTACTCCTGGGCCAAAGCTGCTGTTCACAGACACAGCAACCCCACACTTGAGCTGCCTGCAGACGACCAAAGCATCCATGATATCCCACTCATGGTCACAAATGGTGCCCCAGGAGGAATTCCTGTAAATTTCCACTCTTCCTGAACACACATCAAGACCCCCTTGCAGTCTAGGGGGCACTGGACCTGGAAAAGTAGTAATAGAACACATACTTTGTGAGCTGATACATAAACATACAGACAGCAGTCATCACATGCAATTCCCTGACCTCCATACTCATCCTATAAAAGCTGTCCAGAACTACTTCGTCAATCATTTCCCCCTTTCCTCAACTCTTAACATCTAAATCTGGTCCAAGATGGCAGCGGAGTAGGATGCTTCAAGCCTGAGCTCGTCTGTTCCACCTGTTCTTCTTTTCCCTTTCTTTATTTTCCTGTGTTCTTTTTCCTTCTTCTCTCCCAGCCCCCAGAAAACCCTTAGCCCCCGATGACTTCCGGCCTTCCCACAGAAATGACAAGGGGTCCTCCCAGTCTGGCGAGGTAGAATCCCACCCTGGCGTGGTGAGGTAGCTTCCTGGCCTGGCGTGGTGTGGCAGCTCCCCAGAGTGGCATGACATCTCTTGGCCTGGCATGACCTCATGTGGTCTTTCAGTCTCGAGGTGATTCTGGAGTGATCTCTCAGCCTCATGGACCTTGAGGTGAAGCCTGGTGTGGTCTGGAGCCAAGGCCCAGTGCGGACTGGAGACTAGGTGCTGTCATGGTCTGGGTTAAAAGACCATTGTTCTGTATTTTCTATTTCTACAATGCTGGACTTTTTATTTCTCTATTTTCTAAGATCTTGTATCTGAATTTTTTGCACCTAGGTACCCTTGTACCTAAGATGGCGTTGTAAGTGGCAACATATGAACTTTTCACTGTACTTACTTAAGTACAAGTGACAATAAAGCTCATTCAATTAAATTAAATTTAATTAATCTCTTTTATCATGGCATATCCAGAACTCTAAACTCACATTCCACAGTTCCACAACCTGCTTTTTCTTTATCGAGTTGGGTGTCTGTTCTTCTGCCAAAGTGAACTGACACTTAAGCAAATTGGTACACTCTGACGCAAACATAATTCCTGTCACACAAACACATCTACAGACATGCACATATTAATGCACAAACACCTCCTCACACATATGAATATACAAATATACAAATTAGGAGCTGAAGTAGGCTAGTTGGCCCCTTGATTCTGCTCCACCATCCAGTAAATCCAAGAATGATCTGACTGTGATCTCAACTCCATTTTCCTCCCTACAGCTGATACCACTTCAGTCCTTTGTTAGTCAAGAATCTATCTAGATCTGCCTTAAACCATTCAATGAACCTTTCTCCATTGCTCTGTGGGCTTACTACCCTCAGAGAAAATCAATTCCCCTCATCCAGTTTTAAATGAACGAACCCTCATTTTCCAACTGTGCCCTTTATTTCTTGACCCTCCCATAACAGGAGACATTCTTTTAACATTGACACTGTTCAGACCACTCCACCTCTCGTTCTTCAAAACTCAAATAGATACAGGTCAAACCGATCTGACCTTTCCTCATAAGATAAGGCCCTCATTCCTGGAATATATCAAGTGAACCTTAACTGTGCTGCTTCATGATGTGGAGGTGCTGGTGTTGGACAGAGGTGGACAAGGTCAGAAATCAGATGACACCAGGTTATAGTCCAACAGGTTTATTTGAAAACACAAGCCTTTTCAGCACCTCACTCTTTCTTCAGGTGTTAGTGAGGTGGTATCAGACACAGAATTTATAAGTAAAAGATGGGTTAGTGCACTATTACCTGAACAGCGAACTCCAGCATCCTCGTTGTGTTGACAGTTATTCTCACCCCAGTGTGCCGCAACGCACTGATCGAGACTTGACTCTGTTCCGTCACAGAGCACATCATCTAACCAGATTGGTCCACTGCCCTGTCCAAAAAATGCTCCAGTGGTGGCCTGGATTGCCCTCCCACAGTTGAGCTGTCTACACACCACCTGTGCATCATGTAGGTCCCAGTAATCACTACAAACCGTTCCCCAAGTGGAGTTGTGAAAAATAGCCACTCTCCCATCACACAAATTTCTTCCATCTTCCAGTCTCACCAATCCTGATCCTAGAAAAAAGAACAAACAAAAGTCAATATCTACCACTACTAACTCCAAACATCTACTCGGTGTCAATGATGGCTCTGCATTCCATACTCTCAATCATGGGTCAGGAGGGTCAAGGCCTCAAATCCAGATGGTTTGGAAGCTTCTGTTGTCACAAATCCTGAGGCAGTAGCAGGCAACTACTGAGGGGAGATATTGACAAGAAAGTCTTTGGACCAGCTCTGAGGTCTTATGACACAAATGACCATTTTATTTTTCTGGGCCTAGATATAAAAGAGGGGAGGGAATGAGCGTACATAACAGGGTCACATCAAACAATAGGAATCCAGATTGGAAGATCAGTGAGTGGGGTAGAAAGGTCATGCTGCAATTATAGGGTTGGGGTGAAGGCGAGGCCAGAAAGGAGCCACTACATAAAAAGTTCCAGAGATCCTGAGTGGTGTGGTGCTTCTTTAACCTGGAGATAAATAGATTGGGAGTCATTTTGATCATTGCAAGTGTTCCAAACTCATTAGGAACTGTTAACATTTAAAGAAGAAATTCAAATACACAGCAATTAACCGACTGAGCCCGTTTTCACATTTACAAACAAAAACAGACTTCATTGTACATCAAAAAGACTCAAACAACGCAAACACAATTAACTTAACACTAAAATTTATAAAGGCTTGTGCAATAAACACAGTTCTACTTTTTATATACCTCTATGAAATTCCTTAACTTATGAAACTTTGAGACTTCATTCACTTTCCCTAGGACCAAACCAAAGATATGTCACCGCCTGCCAGAATTTATATTAATTCTCCGGAACATTCCAGCAATTCCTCCAAGATGAACTTCTGAGGAGTTCTTCCATTGGGTCTTTGGATTTGAGGCCTTCCTTGCCTTTACCTTTACCAAATTATATGTGCAGATGCCCCATCACCTTGTTCAGATTGCTGGCAGATTTCCAAGTGCCTTCCTGCAGCTTTCCAAGCTGAGCCTGCTAGCTGCATTCTGCCATAAAACTCTGAGAGGACCACTGTGCATCTCTTCCATCAGTTGAGAGATAGAATAAATTTTCCAGCTGTCTTTCCATAATGAAACCCTAACTGACATGCACGGTTCTGTTAGCAAACACAAACAGAGAAATTGAACAAAAGAAGCTTCAAACCAAATCTCCACCCTGAATCATTAACTGAAAGCTAACATGACATATACAGCTGCTTGAGGTAGAAATGCAAATTAATTGTCTTTTATTTTCATTAGTCAGAAAACTACCTGAATGACTCGCATTGTTAACAAAGTCAGAACAATGCTTCCCAGAATTATTGCACCTTTACAAAGGAAGACAAAGCTTCTTGCTGTTTATGATCTTACCTTTCTAATTGTCGATGGCCCCAAACTTTGGAGTCAAATAAACTCCATGTTTGTTTGAATTGCAGTAACTTCAGGGATTCTTGTCAGTTTGTCAATGCCCACATATTCTATGAAAACTTTAATTCCTATAATTGAAAGCTATGTCCTAAAATACATAAACTATAAACTAGATTTTTGAAACATCAGTGACTTACATCCAGCCCCATTGAGAAAGATTTATGAAGAGCATTATTTCCTTCAGTGGAAATAGTTTCCTTCAGTCTTATGAAACAGTTGCAAATGAAAACCTATAATTTAAGAGAGTTTTGTTAACAATTTTAAAAATGTGTTCATAAGCTTATTGTGGCTTTCTTGAGTAGGGGTAAAAATGAAGTGAGTTGCCTTATCTACTGTTTAGAGCATAATTATCAGGAAACAACAGGCACCTAATGTGAGCGCAGAGCTAGGGGCAGTATTGGAGTGGGTCAGATCAATTGTGAACTACATTAAACCTCACCACTTTGCGTATTTCTGTTTGCCAACACATATGAAGACAGAGGACCTGATCATGATTTGTTGTTTCACAGTTTCACCTGCTGGCTGTCAAGAGGAAGAGTACTGCAACTGTGTTTTGAACTGAAAGATCCGTTGCTTGCATTTGCAATGGACTGCAAAAAATATCAAATGATTCATTTTTCTGCACTTAAATTGATTTACCTCATAATTATGATGCAGACATTTTTGGGAAACAAAAATTATCTGAATGCAAATATGTCAGGAAAGAATGATCTCCAACTGAGTGAATGGCTCATAACATTCATGAAGTAAATTGCATTTTGGAAGAACAACATGCTACCAATGGACTGACTCTCCCACAACAAAATCTAACAATGTCCTGATCATGTGGTGAGCAATCACCTCAGGTGTCTGCACATGCACTTTGCATCAATTAACCACCCCAACCCCCTCCCCCAATGGTTGGAGAATGAAGATCTGGATTTGCAGGTAGCTAATTGAAATTTAAACAATTTCGGAGTTTCCTTTAGATTGGCTTAATGGCTAAGTGGTTTACGTAGATGAGATACATGGGAAAGGGATGTTTGTTGATGAGGTAGGCGGGTAAGGGATGTGTGTAGTTGAGGTAAGCAGGTAAGAGGATTGGGTGGGAATTCAGTGTTGAATCAAGATCTGGTGGCTGTATAGTACTTGGGGAGTGGATGTCAGAGGATCAGAGGGCATTAGAATGTCAAGTAAGGGCAGTTGGAGGCTTAGGGCTTCAGAGAATCAGGGAGCTTGAACGGTCAAGGAACATGCACAGTGTCAGCTGGGATAAAGTGTTGGATGAGAATCGAGGGTCAGAGATTCAGATGGTCAGGGGATTGTCAGAAGGTGAAGGGATGCCATATGTTTGGGGTAGTTGGAGGCACAGGATGATTCGGGGCAGTCAGGGGGTCTGGCAAAGAGTTGGAGGAATCAACCACATCATCTTAAACTAGCATTTCGGCAGGTAACAACCAATGGAGGTAAACCACATCCCTCCCAAGTCTTCAACTCTAACTCAAGAGTTGGAACCATTTGCACAGGGTAAAGAGGAACTGGTTTAAATTTCTCATACCATTCCTGAGTCAGGGTTTCCGAGAAGGCAGGATATGCAAGGTTGAAGCATGTCTGGACCCCAAAGATCTGGAGCAGTGTGGTACATAGAAGACAATACGGGACCAGAGAGAACAAAAATATCCATGGAATTGCATGATTAGATGTTGTACTAAATGAGGCTCCATCTACAGCATGTTACAAGTCAGAACTGTCATACTTCATCTGCTGCTTGTAGTAACAGCATGGTTCTCAGGAAACAACTAGCAACTAAGGAACAGAGCACAGAGCTAGGTACAGTATTGCTGTAGTTTGCATTAATTGTGTACTGCATTAAATCTCACCCACAACTTGTGCATCTGTTTATCAACTTTCGTGAACATAGGGGAAATTGCAATTGCTATATCATTGTTAATGTTATTGTTTCAAACCGCGGCCTACTGGCTGTCAAGGGAAGAGTACTGCAAAGGGTTTTTGAACTGAGATCACCTGCTTGCATTTGCAATATACTGCAAAAAGAAACAATTTTCTCTGTGTCCATAATCAGATTTGCCACCTTGCAAACACCAGAGAAAAAATTTTGGAAATAAACTAAACCATCAAGGGGCAGGTCTCATGAGCTCTGCATTGCCAGTGGGCCACAACTGTTAAGGTGCCACACTGCCAGTGGGCCAGGGCTGAGACAGTGCCGCACTGCCAGTGGGCCAGGGCTGAGACAGTGCCGCACTGCCAGTGGGTCAGGGCTGAGACAGTGCCGCACTGCCAGTGGGCCATGACAGAGAACACTATTATTAGTGGGCATGGAGTTAGGGAACAGTCTATTAGGTAAGATGGGAATTGGAGTGTTCTTTGAAGTTTATAGTCATTGTGAGAGCCATGGCTAATGAATAGACTTGAACCTGAAGTTAGGAATTCCACACGATGAGCGAAAAGTAATAGGGAGTAGCCGAGGGACTTGGCGAGATTTGTATATTCCCCTCTCCTATCTGAACAGCAGCACTACTTCCTGTCTCCTGTCACGTAGCTGTGCTTTAACTTTGCTGACAAGCCTATCATCTGTATTTTGTGAAATATCTTACTGACCTGTACTTTTATTGCCAACCTACTTGGCCTGAGATAAGCTTCTGACTTCATACCTTCACTGCACCAGCAAGCATGCCAACTTCCAGCCTCCCTAACATCTTCCATCTCTGCTTTTAACAAAGCTCATCTGCTACTGCAACCTTCATCCTTGCCAGTGTTACCAGTAAACCTGATTATTTTAACGCTCTCCTGAACAGCTTCCCATCTTACAGCCTCTGTAAACATCAACTTATCCAAACCTCTGCAGACGTCTCCTAACTCACACCAAGTCCAAAACATCTTGGGCCCACTGATCTACATTAGCTGCCAATCTGTTTTACTTTAAACATTCTCATTCTCCTATTTAAATCCCTCCAGCTTTTTACTGCTTCCTATCTCTATAACCACATGCAGAGCTAGAACTGTCATCGCATGTCCAATTCCTCCTCTCTTGACTGGGACAGTTCGCTCCAGCATTGAACATGCTCAGTGAATCCTGCACACATCCAATCATGGATTCATACCCAATCCCAACATTAGCGGTCTTTCCATTCAGTTGCGGAGAATCTAAGTTCTATAATTCCCTTACTAAATACCTCACTTTTATAACACTCCTTAAAATCTAGCTCTTTGAGAAAGTTTTAGTCAACTGTCTCAATATCTCCTTGCTTAGGCTGGTGTCCACCTTTGTTCATAACCAAGTTTGTCAAATATCTTGGGCCACTTTAGAATGTTAATGGCGTTATAAAAATGCATCTTGTTTGTGTTAATACCACTGCTCACCTTCTTTCTCTATAGCCCTGTATCAATCCCAAACTATTAGGACTTTCCCTCATAGTCCCATATCAATTCAAAATTAGTGCCACTTAACCCCACACTCTCCCTACAACCACTGATCCAGTCTAACTAATCTTCCTGCTTGCACTCTTCCCTTAGCCCTTTATCAATTTTAAGATGTTATTGTTCTGTTCTTTCCTCTTAACAATATATCAATCTTAAACTAATCATT